AATCAGATTGTTCACTTGGTAATAAGTATTTCTTACTGCTTTGCGGGTCATGGTGACTTTAAGAATCTGACAAATGGCCGGCCAGTTAGTTTAGTCCATTAGAGAAGAGCCTTGTAACACCAAGGTCAAGGGTTCAGACCCCTGAACCAGCCAGCCACCAAAAAAAAAAAAAAAAGAATCTGATGGAAGTTCTGGATCCACATCCTTCTTAAAAAAAAAAAGAAAAAAAAAATTTCACCCTCAACACTCAGTCCACTCAGTCTCACAGTTTCAGAGCTTTCAAGATGCCCCATCCATACCTAACCCCATCAGGTACCCGTAGACTCCAGGGGAAGAATCTTGACCTTTAAGGACCTTAGGGAGGGCATTAACCCCCTCACTGTCTGCATCCTGCTGACCACCACCCTTCAATCCTCCCCACCACCCCACCCACTCTGGGCAGTGTCTCCTTCTGCACATTCCTGGCACATGAGTACCCAGACCTGGTACACAAGGTGATCATGATCAATGGCGGGGGCCCCACAGCACTGGAGCCCAGCTTCTGCTCAATCTTCAACATGCCCACCTGCGTCCTGCACTGCTTGTCACCCTGCCTGGCCTGGAGCTTCCTCAAGTAAGTGCCCTAACCCCAAAAACTGTGGTCCTGGCCCTGGAGGACTGCGTCATCTCCTGGAATTGGGTGGGAGGGGAGGCTGTACTGCTGGGGTTGAGGCTGGCACCAGGGGCGGCCCCTATGATGATCTGGCTGGCATGAGGAGCTCCAAAGGTGCCTCTCCACAACCAGGGCTGGCTTCGCCCGCCAAGGGGCCAAAGAAAAGCAGCTGCTAAAGGAGGGCAATGCATTCAACGTGTCGTCCTTTGTACTGCGGGCCATGATGAGTGGCCAGTATTGGCCAGAGGGTGACGAAGTCTACCACGCTGAGCTTACAGTGCCCGTCCTGCTCGTCCACGGCATGCATGACAAGTTTGTGCCGGTGGAGGAAGACCAGCGAATGGCTGAGGTAGGAGCTGGACGCCTGGGATGTCACCTCCCCCAAAATCTCCCATGTGCAGCCCAGAGGCGTGGCCCCAGGTGGGTGTGGTCTCTTGGTGTGCATGGTCTCTAGAGGAGGCTCTGCTTTGTGGTCTGAGCTCAGGCAAATAGGAGCGTTAGAGTCAAAAGTAGAACCTAGAAAGCTGGGCTGCTCTGGAGAGGTGTTAACAATGATGTGCCATCCCCACTGCACATAAGGCTCTTTTCATAGCTGGGCTATGTATAAGAAACCAATGACTGACTATATAATTCTGGGAGAGGGCGCCAGGGGATCCTTAGGTTAGAAACTCCCAAGAAAGGGTTTTGGGGTCCTTAGCACTTAGAATAGTTCTGGACTGGCGGTTCTTAACCAGGGATGATTCTGCCCCCAGAGGACACTTGGAAATGTCTGGGACATTTTTGGTTGTTATGACTGAGGGGGAGAGAGGTGCTACTGGCATTTGATGGGTGGAGGCTGGGTGGAGGCTGGGGACACTGCTCAACACCCTTCAATGTGCAGGACAGCTCCACAGCAAAGAATGATCCTGCCCCAAATATCAGTAGGGCCACGGGTGAGAAATCCTACCTTGACATGACAGTCTGTCTATCTACCTATCCGTGATTCTTTGCCTCCTGGGACATTTAGCAATATCTGGAGACATTTTAAGTTGTCACATTGTGTGTGTGTTGGGGGGGTTACTGCTATTGGCATCTACTGGGTCAAGGCCAGGGCCATTGCTAAATATCCTACAGTGCACAGGACAGCCCCCCCACCCCAAAGAAGATCGAGCTCCAAATGTCAGTACTGCAAAGGTTGAGAAATACTCCTTTGGGCATACTGTGGGCACTTAATAAATGAATAGCTATTTGGGATCCAACAGGGTGACAGGTCATCCTCGAGCTCCCCCTTGAGTGGAACTGGAGGGATGAGGGGTAGACTGCAGGAGGGACTTCCCAATGCTGCAGGCCGTGAATGGATGGTGTGGGAGCGCCAGGGCAGCCTGGCCCCACCACCCTGCCCTGGCCCATCCTGAGCCCCACTTCCTCTGCAGATCTTACTCCTGGCCTTCCTGAAGCTCATCGACGAAGGCAGTCACATGGTGATGCTGGAGTGCCCCGAAACGGTTAACACGCTGCTCCACGAATTCCTGCTCTGGGAGCCCGAGCCCTCGCCTAAGGCTCTGCCCGAGCCCCTGCCCGCGCCTCCGGAGGAGAAAAAGTAGCCACCAGGCCCTCGGGGCATCGCTTGGTGAGCAGAGGCGCGGGAGGATGAGGCCGGGGCCAGCGCCAGTTCTGCAGCACGGGCCACCTGGGCAGGCTGCTCGCTCCAGTGGAGGGAGCCAGGCCAGGGAGGCGCCCCCAGGCCAGCGGGGCGGAGCGTGGCATCGGTGGGGGGAGCCAGGTGGACCCTCGGCTCCCCGCTCCTGTCCTGCGGAGCCTGTTGCTGGGGCCACAGCCAGGACCCCGCTGAGGATGACCTTGTACAGAATCCCCCTCCCCCCACCCCCAGCATCAGGGCCAAGGCCAGCCCTTCGCCCTGCTCTGCGTCCTCGATCCTGGGGCCCAGAAGCCCCGCAGGGACCCTCAGGGCCCCGTCCCATTGACCGAGACACCCCTATCCCCAATTCCTCGGCGCTGGGAGCTGTTGCCCAAGGGGGGAGGGTTGGGGGGGATCTCGCGCCACCAAACCTGCACATCGCAACTTGTAACTCAATAAAAAGAAGTGACAATCGGAGTCTCCAGACCTGTCCTGGGTCACTGCAGGGCAAGATCTTTGCCACCCTGAGCCTGTTTTTGCACCTGCAGACTAGGCTGACGCTGGTGCCTCCCCCTCAGGGCTGACCTTGAGATTCCAGGCTTGCTTCCCGAGTCCCCGCTCCCACCTCAGAACGCAGGGGCTGCTCGGGCAGTATTTCTAGAGTGCCAGGCAGATTATCAAGGGGTGAGCTCCCCATCCCCGGCGGGGAAGAGGAGGCCCAACTGAGGTTGAGGTGAGGATCGGTGGCCTTTGCATGGGATTACAACCACCATAATTGAGTGCCCACTGTATACCAGGCCCTGTACTGAATGCCTGACGCCCACTGGTTTATCGAATCCCACTCACTCCACCCCATCCCACCCAACAAGTCAGTACCTCTCACTATCCCTGTCTTATCTTTCTATTTGGTTTAGGGTCACCGTCATAAAGATGATTTTTTTTAAACCACCAAATCTGTTTTTTTCTTTTATGACCAACTAAAGGATTTCTCTGCCTAAGGCCATATATTTGCTTTTCTATATTTTATTTTATTTATTTATTGCGGCTGGCCGGTAACAGGATCTGAACTCCTGACCTTTGTGTTATTGTCACCATGCTCCAATCTATTAAGCTAACCGGCCAGCACTGTATTTCGTTTTAATGAACACATATCTAGGTCTGTGGTTTGTGTGAATGGCGGGAGGGGAGAGGAAATTGTCTCCTCAGATGTCAGTCTTCTGTCCTTCCCCACTGGTGTGTGAGCCCACCTTTAGTTTAGACCCGGGAGTCTTACCAAGAGCAATTGTGTCCACTGGAAAACTCTGGACATATTTTTGATCGCCACAACTGGGGGGTGGTGGGGAAGTCACGGATGCTGCTCAACACCCTGCAATGCACGCGAAAGACCCCAGAGCAGAGACGAATCCATCCTCAAATGTCATTAGGGCCGAGGCTGGGAAACCCTGTTAGACAAGTCTCATGTTCTTTGGGTCTTTCGAGGCCTCTGGATCTTCTCCAATGACCTGTTTGTGTATTCAGGGGGCGATGGCACCCTGTTGTCATTGCTGTCGCTTGATTAGACGACTTGGTGTCTGCGAGGCCTCCCTGTTTTTCTACGCCGCAGGAAACGGAAGCCCAGGGAGAGGTTTGCACAGCTCCGTTACCGGCGGCAGAGCCCCGCCCCCTACGTGCCCTGATTCGCTGAGCCGTGATGACGGACAGGCGCTGAAGCCAATGAGGCAGCGGATCTCCCCAAGTCCCTAAACCCGTAGGGCCATTTGAAGAAACAACTTCTAGAAACTTAGAGACCGCCTTCCCCCCTCCCCCCCAAAAACCCGGACCGCAGACATCAAAAGCAGCATCTCACCAGGATGGCGGCTGGGGATTTACTTAACTTTCTGCACACGTGCGTAGTCTGAAGCCTCATAGCATTGCTGGAGATTGGGGTTATTCTCATTTTATAGTGGAAGAAACAGGTTCAGAGAAGCAACTCCAGAAGGCTGGGGTTGCACAGCGATCCCGAGCAAGGCTGGTCTCTCCCAAAGTCACACATCACCCCCGTCGGCCCCTTGAGAGCCTCACCCTCCCCCGCTTCCCCGAGATTTTCCACCCGGGCCTCATGCAGAGCTCCAAGCCTCACACTTTACCCACATGACCTCATTTGATCCCTCCCATGACCCCCTGAGGTAGAGGAAACTGTGGCTCAGGCAGATAAAATTACTGGTACGAGGTCCCAAAGCTGGGAATCAGCAAACCTGGCTCTTTTTTGGTTTTTGGCAGCTGGCTGGTACAGGGATGGAACCCTGGATCTTGGTGTTAACAGCACCACGCTCTCACCCACTAAGCTAACCGGCCAGCCTGAACCCGGCTCTTGAGCTGGGCAGATACCTTGCATGTACCTGAGGAAGCCTCTGTCCACCCCTCAGTGTGGGTCCCGTGTCTGGGAGATAAAAGTGGACTCTATCCACATAGAACCAGACTGCCAAACCACTGGAGCGTTCCAAAGCACCTTCTGGTTCCCCACTTGGCCTCCTCCCACGACGGGGAGCTCACTACCTTCCCAGGAGTACCATATTTAACAGCCTGAGGGGGGGATCTGCCCTGGTGCTCCCTTTGCACATGTACACATACACACACACTCACACACAGCCCCTTCTGAAGCAAGAGACGAGGGTTGCTCTCAGCACGGGGCAGCTGGGACCTTTAAACACCCTGATCTCTACCCAGGCTGGACAGCCAGTTCCCCAGCACTCAGCCACGAGCCTGGATGTCCTGGGGCCGCAGCTCTCGCTCGCCCTCGGCCAGGAAGACACGGAGGGCACGGTGCAGCAGGTGCACCCCCAAGCGCTGCCGCCGAGCAGGTGACCAGCCTGCCACCACTCCATAGCAGTGCCCTTGCTTCTGGTTGGTCAGTGTCTGGATCCCTGGAGAGATTGGGGGTGGGGTCACAAGGAAAGCTTCGGGGACCCCCCCCGCAGCCAAAGTATGTGACAGCAAACCCACTGTGTATTGGCCTCAAAGGGGTATAAAACAGTGGAGCAAAATACATGCATGTGCAGGTAGACTTGGTGCTCAATAATTGCTCACTGAACAAATGAACAGCACTGCTAGGGAAAGGGTGAGGGAATTGGTGGATCAAATGCCCCTTATGTGACAACCACCCCACATGCCTGGCACCCACCTAGGGCATCCACAAGACACGCCTCTCGTGTATAAGCCTCCACAGCGACCACATGCTGGAAGCAATGCAGGGAGATGACACCGCGACCACTGGCCCAGATGTCCAAGATCCGTTGTACCTTGGGGCAGGTCTGGTGGGGCAAGGGCCAGGTCAGGGGTTGGTTCCCCAATCCCTCCTTCCTCTACCTGTGCATGGCCTGGTTGACCCTGCCGGACCCTGACCCTTGTCCTCACACCTGTTTTGCTGGCTGCCCACGATAGCCAAGGGCCTCCCAGAGGTGGACATATGGCCGGGCCCGTGTCCCCTTTCCCACGTAGAAGACAGCACGTACGAAAGTCTGAAGGCACTCAGCCAGGGTCAGTGAGAAGGCTCGGGCTGGCAGGTCCTGAGTCTCCCTGGATGAAGTGATGAGTGTCCTCAGAGGCAGTCCCCAAAGTCACAGAAAAACCTGAACCCATGTCCAGTGGCCCTACTTTATAGGGCCTGACAGAGTGGCTGCTCCCCAAGGACACTTAGCAGCTTGAATTAGGTCCAACCACCTTTTGTAAAGAGGCTGATGACCAGAGAGGGCCAGTTTCTTTCCTAAGGACACACAGCGAATGAGAACCAACCCCAAATATTCTAGCTCTCACTTCTAGGTCTTTCCTGCCCTGAGTACCTGGGGTCCAGCAGCAGATACGTGAAGCTGGACTTTGCCATCCCCTCCCGCCACCTCCTGGCGGGATCCGGCTGCTCAAACTGCTGGGCGAGTGCATCCTCGTCTGCCTGGGTGTCTGGGATGTGGCCTGTCTGCAGGGCCTTGGCCAGTTCTGTGCTGTGCCCTGAAAAGTCTGGGCCTGGGAAGGGAAACTGAGTCAAGGGAGACAGAGGAAGGGGTGATTCTCAGGGATGAACAGAGACATGGGACTAAGAGCTAAAAGCTGTTTGGATGGTTCCTGGAGGCACCTTGCACTTCGATGCCCAGCAAAGACTAACCAGGAGCAGCCTGGGTTTCTTCCAGCCGTTGGAGGTAGTACCGCCGGGTGAAGGGCGTGATGGGGGCAGGGCTCTGGCCAAGCACTCGTAGTTTCTGCAGCAGCTCCAGGTCAGACACAGCGGGGGCTTGCAGGTGACAGCAAGAGGGGACAGAGTCCCTGCCTCCTGTGTAGCTCGCCTCATCCTCCTGACGGAGAGCGGCTATGTCACTATCGAAGGAGGTCTGGTCATCTGCCAGGAAGCAGAAGTCAGAGGGTCCAGGCGGTGATTTCCGTGGGTGGCTATGGGCTGGACTCCCATCCAGGAGGGATGGTGAGGAAGCAGAGGACTGGAAGCTGGCAGCATCTGACGAGGTCAGAGTCAGGGCCTGCAGACAGGCATTTATTTCTGCCTCGCTGCCCACCGTGATAGTTTCATGTGCCAGCTGTGCGGCACCCAGAGACCTAGGTCCACCAGGCAGAAGTCCCTGCCTGGTCTGGGGCCATGACCCAGCACAGGGGGAAGTGTCTGGGGCTGGGTCCTCAGCCCCAGAGACCTCAACTGCGGTGACAAAGGAGGCATCTGAGCAGCAGTCCTGGCACTCTAGGGGGGACGCTGGGCTTCCATCCTTGTTCACAGCCTCAAGGGAGGCATGGAGGCCGGGGGGTCCCAGGCCAGCCTCCAGGCACATGTCCCTGCTATCACCTCTACCCAGCCAGGTTTGGAGTGCTGTGGATTCCAGCGTCACATCGCGAGTTCCAGAGAGGCCTGGGCCTGGAGATGAGATGGGGTCAGGGAGGAAAGGGGGAGGGAGTGAGAGGCAGAGACGGGAAGTGGGTCACACAGAGAAACTGGAGCCACAGTGAGAAGGGAGAGTCCTAGGCAGAGCGAGCCATCCAGAGACAGTAGATGGGTGACAGTCAGAACCGGTGGGGGATGGTGGGTGCCAGAGACAATCAGAAACAGCTGGGAACAGAGGGAACACGCAGAGAGAGTCACTCCAATATGGTCCAGAAGTGAAGCCCCTGCAGCCATGCAGGCCCTACTCACGGGCAGCCTCAGTCCCGGGCTTCTGGGTCTCTGCCCCAGTCTGGGTCCAGGTCCGGTTCTGGGTCTTCGTCCGTGTGTCGAGCTTCCGCAGGACGGACGCACAGTCCCCGTGTCCCTGCTGCATGGCCAGGTCCAGCGGCCGAAGTCCGTCCTGAGGCGGAACGGTCAGCAGGGGGCGCCCGAGGCCCTCTCCCTCCCTGCCTCCCTCGGGAACCCCCCAACCTGGTCGCGCAGCTCGGGGTCCGCTCCTTGGCTCAGCAGCAGCTCCAGACCGCGGCGACACCCCCAGGCGGCGGCCACGTGCAGCGGCGTCAGCGCCTCGTCAGATCTGGGGCCGGAGCGCAAGAAGGGTCACTGGGGACTCCGCCCTCGGTCAGGGACCCATAGCCTCGGCTCTGAGCCCCCATCTCTGCCCTCCGGCCTGGGACACGGCCCTCGGTACTTCAATCCTGAGCCCTGCGGCCGAGACCCACACTTGTGCCATCCTACCCTAGAGTTTCCACCCCCAGATCCGAACACTCGATCCCTACTTTGGTCCCAGAGCGATCCCATGCACCGCCTTGGGTCTGGGACACCAGCACCTCCCTCGAACCTTAGCCCCCGTCCTTGGACGCTCAAGCTCCCTCCCCAAGACCCTCGAGCCCCACCCTCGAGCATCGAACCCCCGCCCTTGGCCCGTGGGGCGCCCTCTAGGGTTCCCAAGCCCCGGCCTCACCGAGCGTTGGGGTCCCCGCCTCCGCGCAGCAGCGCCCCGAGGCAGAGCAGGGCGCGAGGGCTCCGGGCTCCGGCCGCCAAGTGCACGGCCGCCGCGCCGTCCACTAGCACCAGGTTGGGGTCGGCGCCGCGGCTCAGCAGCTCCTCCACGGCCCTGCGAACAGGGGGTCAGAGTGGACCCCAGCCATCGCCCCTGCCCGCCCACCTGGGGCACCGCGCTCACCGCGGCTCCTGCTCCCGCAGCGCCCCCCTCAGCCGCAGCGCCAGGCCGGTCGCCGAGCCCGAGTCCGGGCCGTCCCCCAGCCCCATGGCCCGGCCCGCCGATTTCCAGTTTCCCGCGGCGACCTTGTGCGCACGCGCCGCCCCGCCCCTCGGCTCGGGTGCCGGCTCCCA